TATACACTTGTATATGTATACAAATCAAAGATCTACGGAGTCCTCTGTCCTGCTGGGGTATGGGCCGCCAACCAAAGATTTCCAGTCCTCTGTCCTGCTGGGGTATGGGCCGCCAACCAAAGATTTCCAGTCCTCTGTCCTGCTGGGGTATGGGCCACCAACCAAAGATCTCCAGAGTCCTCCGTCCTGTGCCATCTTCCCAACCTGACCCAGGTGTAACCCATCTTTGTGGTCACGTAGCCAGGTGTTTCTTTGCCGACTTTTGCGCTATTCTCGTGGGTTCCACCTCAATGGCTGCCTGGTCTGTGTCCTATCCAACCCAATCTTCTCGCACACCGAGAGAGTAATAAAAAATAAAAGTCTGCTTTCAACCTATATTTGTAACACCTTAAACTGTGATCAATGACTTCCTGATCTAAGCAACTAATTGTGATACTCACTAGCAATCTTCTTAAAATCGTCGGTTCAATATGTTCAAATATGTTCAATGCGATTTATAGAAGTATCAAGTCTGATGATGTGGGGTGTGGGGGTGGGGGGTGGGGATGCTACTCGCCAATCCCAGTCCTCTTTTTCTAGGTACATTTTTGTCTAGAAATAGTTAAACTCCCACCAAATGGTATTATATTTTTTTTTCCAGACTGTATGCGATTTATGTGATGTATCTATTAATTGTACATCTTTTATAATATATTACACTGATATTTTTTGATTCTGTAACTTCAGCTTTGAGCCACACTCATGACTAAACTTAACACGCATGGAAAGTGTAGCAGAAATAGATCTGACACCGCTTACTGCTCCTATTGTCGGGAAAATGAGTCTTAAAATTGAAAAGAGTATGGTTGAATCATATATTTTTGTCCAATAAAAAAGACAAATATCTCACTCGTTATGAAACTGTGAAATACAATAATTAAATCAGAATTTTTAAAATTGATGCTGGTAATCATATGACTATATTATATTGTAATATGAGAAACAATCTCACTGTTGCAGTGATTTTAATTGGATCTCCCGTTGTAGTGTTTGATGTGCACTGAATAAGACATCTTTGTCACGGGCATTACCGGGTATATCAACTAGTATGTATGTATGTATGTATGTATGTATATATGTATATATATATATATATATAAATATATATATATATATATATATATATATATATATATATATATATATATATATATGCATACATACATATATAAATATAATTTTTCAATCATCAATTACTTTTCCTATTCATTTGTCAATTGATTGAAAACACTTACTAATTAAAAAGCTTTTAAAAAGTAAGAAAAGAATATTGGATATGAAAAATGACTATGAGACCTAACAGTACCCGTCAGAATAATCAATAAGAGAAATAGTTTTGTTAAACCTTTCAACTGAGTTTTTGTTGAATAATCAGCTTTTAAAAATTTCGCACTTTTAGAAAGAACATTTTTAAAAAAGGATCAAATTTTTGCTTTATTTTGAAGTGCAATTAGTACATTTTTTTCCACTAGTGCATTAGTACACCACATAAACCACACTTACGTACATATAACTACTATTTCACGCGGGGTTTTAGACAGGAACCAGCGTGTCACGGCAATAGGGATAGTATGACTACGGTCTCGAAATCTACTAGCTGGCAAGTACGAGAACGAGAAGTTGTGACCTACTTACAAGCCCTATAAGTATCAGTAGAATTGTGTTGAGGCGTATAATTCAGATATTTTTCTGATTACTTGAGGGAGTACTTGAAGACTCTCTCCTAGCTATTACATGACTATATATATATATATATATATATATATATATATATATATATATATATAAAGAATGGATACAACAAATTCGCTGGTTACATATCAAAGAGAACGAGAGACCTATCGGTACAGATGAACTATAAAGACGACTTTGAACTTACCTACAATTTTAGCTATCCTGTGTTAATGGGTAGCTTGAGTAATTCTCCTTTGTTCTATGAGCACTTCTCCTGAAAACTTTCAACTCAAAGTTCGGCTACAGTTTCACGCTATTTTCAATGCACCACACTATTCGTGTTTTAAATGGATAGGTTTTTTTTTCTCATACCGGCATAAATCTGTATTAAAAAAAAATAGATTAATCCGAGTTAATGTGGAATCGTATTTCAGTTCGTTCGATACAAACAAAACTGTTGACGACATGTTTGCAAATACTGACTGACAAATGAAAGTGTTTTTTGTTTTGTTTTAAGTTCTAAAATATCAGATTAACAAGACGGTGCTGTCCACGCGATGCTTTTAGAAGCCGAGGTCAATAACACAGTTGCATAATTTGAAATATTTAGTTTGAAGTTTCAGTCAGTTATTTTAAAGTAAGAGTTGGTTAAAATGGATGTGTGCATGAAGATAATAGTTGAAAATGAAGATAAAACCTCGATGCACGTACACGCACACACTCACGAACACAAATGCACGGCCTACAATATATATATATATATATATATATATATATATATATATATATATATATATATATATATATATATATATATATATATATAATACACGTATACATATAATATACATGTATATTCAACACGCACACACGTATATATATACATATATATATATATATATATATATATATATATATATATATATATATATATATATATATATATATATATATATATATATATATATATATATAAATCTGTATGTGTGTATATATATATACATACATATATATAAACATACATATATATACATATACATATATATACATATACATATACATATATATATATATATATATATATATATATATATATATATATATATATATATATATATATATATATATATATATATATGTATATATATACGTGTGTGCGTGTTGAATATACATGTATATTATATGTATACGTGTATTATATATATATATATATATATATATATATATATATATATATATATATATATATATATATATATATATATATATATATATGATGTACATCGACTAACATAGAAAAAACTACCTACATTACTTCCCTACATAGCTGATACTTAATACAAACCAAATCAAACCTATAGCGCTTCCACAGTGGTCCGTGATTTTTTAGAACCAGACATTCTTAGTCATAAGGGCAGTAACTCCAGTCACGCCCGTCTTATCTAAGAGTACATTCTACCCCTTTTTTTCCGGTTTTTGGTGCTCACCCTACCCCTCCCCCCTCCCCCGCTATTGTTCTTTATGTCCCACAAATCAGTCAGTGTTTTTTTTTCTCATGGGAGAGTTATGAGCCCTTGTTCTTGCAGAATATTGGGGTGGATTTTAATTAATGGCTGCGGTAAAAAATAAAAGTGAATATGTGTAAAACTAAACCTGTTATTTCGACATAATACACCTCACACATACACACACAATCACACATACACACACGCACACAGAGACACACAGACGTGAGCTGGTGTTAATGAACGGTTAAGCTGGTGTTGGGTTACGTGACGGTGATGGATGTCGTTGGTCAGGGGATGACCTCAGTGGTTTATATGTTGTGTTCTGGTGTGTTGTGTTCTGTCAGGTGTGTTGTGTTCTGTCAGGTGTGTTGTGTTCTGGTGTGTTGTGTTCTGTCAGGTGTGTTGTGTTCTGTCAGGTGTGTTGTGTTCTGGTGTGTTGTGTTCTGTCAGGTGTGTTGTGTTCTGTCAGGTGTGTTGTGGTCTGGTGTGTTGTGTTCTGTCAGGTGTGTTGTGTTCTGTCAGGTGTGTTGTGTTCTGGTGTGTTGTGTTCTGTCAGGTGTGTTGTGTTCTGTCAGGTGTGTTGTGGTCTGGTGTGTTGTGTTCTGTCAGGTGTGTTGTGTTCTTGTGTGTTGTGTTCCGGTGTGTTGTGTTCTGGTGTGTTGTGTTCTGATGTGTTGTCTTCTGGTGTGTTGTGTTCAGGTGTGTTGTGTTCTGATGTGTTGTGTTCTGGTGTGTTGTGTTCAGGTGTGTTGTGTTCTGGTGTGTTGTGTTCTGTCAGGTTTGTACTGTTAGGTGCTGATAGATGGTCTTGGTTTGACCCTCAGATTTTGATGGTCGGCCTTGTCATGTTTGGCCATCAGCTGTAGATAGATGGCCTTGGCCTGGTCATGTTTGGCCATCAGATGTTGATTTTTTTCTTACGATTGCTACCGAGGTCTGGAAAAATTGAAATGCATGGTGAGGATATTAAAGTTTTATGTGATACCTTTTTTTGTGTGCTTAACTCTAGTTCTTGTGGAAACTACGAACGGGAGGGGGGGGGGGGGTTGGCCAAATGAAATACTCTTTTCTTGTACAGTTAGAGTTAAAGAAAGTACCCGGAAGTTTTGTGTATAGTAGTAGTAGGCCCATGTGTTGTACAGTTAGAGCTAAAGAAAGTATCCGGAAGTTGTGTATATAATAGTAGTATGAACGTGTCTTGTACAATTATAGCTAAAGAAAGTACACGGAAGTTTTGTGTATATAATAGTAGTAGGAACGTGTCTTGTACAATTATAGCTAAAGAAAGTACACGGAAGTTTTGTGTATAATAGTTTGTGAAGATCACATTTCCGTACTGGTAAAATTTACCTTGCTGGTGTGCTGAGTATGAAAGATCAAACAATAAATTGTCAACTGTTTTTTTTATTAAATCTTTAGTTGAAATAATTTAATGAATAAATAAATGCATGTGATTTGTTGGTGACTTTTGGCCTTCGTGTTTTATACTTTAAAAGAAAAGATAAAATGTAATACAGTTGTTTTTAAGAAAGTAAAACAGGCAATTTATTTTTTATTCAGGTAAAAAATAAACAAGGAATTTGTATTACAAGTAGATATCTTTGAGTGTTAAATAACTTGGAGAATTATAACTGACATATTTATGAGTTCATTATATCTAGTACACAGTTTCTTCCAGACTTTTTACTCCGGGGGGGGGGGGGGGAGGGGGTGCACTTGATATTTCCGTGGGGGGGGGGGGGGGGGGCGGACAATGCTAAAAGTATGTTTTCTATAGAACATCATAGTTTGAAGGCTTTAACAAGACATTGTAAAACAAGCTTCAGAGCTAGTGTTCTAAAAAAATTGTTGGATATCCGAAAACTATTCGATAACAAATGCAATAAAACTTGTATAAAACAGAACCGTATATTTGTGCTTTATTTAGTGTTTTTTTTTTATAATTATTTTTTTCTCAAACTCTAACTACACATGAGTAATTGTTTAAGTCTAACAGGCAAGGAAGGAAGTAAGTTACAGTTGTGTAAAAAATCTGGTTACAAATTATTTCCAGATTAAGGCGATCATTGTGAGAATTGAATTAAGTTTCGTTTTGTCGAAATGACAACGACGAATATAAGAAATGTAATTCAATTTTGCTTAATCAGTTACAAAATATTTTTTTTTATATATAAAAGCAAACATGTTGTATTTAAATACCCAAATAATTCGCCATTCGGGATTTTTTTTAAAAAGTTGAAATGACAGAGATGAATTAAGAAATATAATTCAATTTCCCTTTTATCAATTATACAGTGTTTTTAATTAACTATAAAGCAGACATGTTACATTTAAATACAAAAATAATTCAGCGATCTGGGATTTTTAAAAAAGTCGAAATGACAGAGATGAATTAAGAAATATAATTCAATTTTGCTTAATCAGTAACACAATATTTTTTTTTTTACTATAAAGCAAACATGTTGCATTTAAATTAAAAAAAATAATTTCGGCAAATCGGGATGTTTTTCATAAGTAGGTATTTCCCAGTTCGACAGTACAGGATAGAGCCAGTTAGTTGACAGCCTCGCTAGGCCAGTTGAGTTGTTTGACCAATCCTCCTTTGGGGCGAGCGTAGCCGCCATATTTTTCAAGGGCCAGAACCCTGTCTGTCGATCGCCATCCCACCTGACCGGAAGTGGTTTTAGGAACTGGTTTGGTTGAGGGCAGCACTTTCAGGTATCTGTGGGGGAGAAACGGAATTGTTGAAAATAGTGCATTGAGCTAAAAAAACAAAACAAAAAAAAAACAATGTTAATTTAAAAAATTATAATTAAAGTAACATCCATCGATTACATCAGCTATATTGAATTTTTTTTAAACTGGAAATTAATGTCGGCTTGCATCCAAAAATAGCAAAATAATATAAATCTAATTTGTGTTGATTAAATTCTAGTTGGGTTACTTGAACTGAAAAATATCGCCTGTCACTATGCAGTGCTAAAAATGCTTGCAGATCAGTGTCAAGATTGATTGACTTGCATATGACAAATAACTAAATTCAGATCAAAAGCTACTTGTAAAAACACAAATTGTTAAGTCATAACCTCCGCAGACGTAAAGTATTACGTCACAACCTCCCCAAAAGCAAACTGTTACGTCAACTCTTAAAAAATACAAAGTGTTACGTCACCTACTCAAACGTATAGTATCACGTCAAATTAACATCAGTTGTAAAGTAATACGTCACTTCCTTCGCTTTGCACGACGCACGTGGCCAAAATCCCCACCCTCTCCCACCCCAACCACCCCCTCCCTCCAATCCCATGAGTGTGACGTTGTTTATGGACAATCTCTAATGATACAAATCAGTACCAATTATAATATTAATTACCACAATCATAACGATTTACAACTAATTATTTCTACTTTTAAACCAAAAAATGAACTTTTGCGTTGAATAACATTATAAATTAATTAAAATTGACAGCGCAATAAAATTAGCTGACAAAAATCTATTGATAGCTAGTTTGGGAATGTAGGCCAACGGTTCTCAAAGTGTCAGTCTCTGGGCTAGAGTACCATATATGTCACCATATGAATAAGGTGTCTGTATCTCAACATAAGGACATATAAAGGGCACAATGGAGACAAATAGAATTTAGCAGGAGCAAGTACAAAGTGTAAATGGATTTTCGGGATGCTTGCAATTTTTCTTTCATACATGTGTGGGGGGGGGGGGGGAAGGGGAAAAGGGCGCATTGTAACCGTAAACAAAAAGACACACACACACACACACACACACACACACACACACACACACACACACACACAACATATATATATATATATATATATATATATATATATATATAAGCCCCGGACCCTGACGCACATCTCGAGACAGATGTGACAGTACGTGTTGCTGTAATACCATCGGTGTGGTGTTGAAGTGGTAGCATGAGCCGATATACCCGCTGTAGATTGTCTTTGATACGGTACGCAGATCTATTATTAAACACTGTCTGTCGCTGACACCGACCTACTGTCTCTTTCATTATCCCCCCCCCCTCCCCTATTACATGTGCCCCCCCCCCCCCCAACTCTCATCCATGAAGCTCTAGATCTTCAACCTCCTTACCTTTCCTCAATCCTCCAAACACTCGTCCAACCCCTCCCCCCCCCCTCACCCCCTCCCTACACTACTCCACTACTTCTCCTCACCCCCCCCCCCCTCTATACTTCACACACTTTACCCTCTCCCTCCAAACGAATCCACTCCTCTCCGTATATTTTCTCCTTCACCTCCCCTACCTCTTCATCCTCCATACACTACACTATCAACCTATCACCCCTCCCCCCACACACCCAACAATCCACTCCTCTCAGTACATTTTCACCTCTCTTCCTCTCCACACCCTACCATACCACCCCCACCCCCATCCCCATACCACTCCACTCCACTCATCCTGCACCTTCACCCTCCTTTCCCCTCACTCCACCCCCACACTTTACCTCCCCTCCCCACACCAGTCTACTCCTCTCACTACCACTTTACTCCCCTCTCCATAACCACCCCACTTCTTACACTACAGTTTCCCATCAACCCTCCACACTCTAAGCCCCTACCCCTCACCATACTCAACTTACATCTTTACCCTCCTCTCCCTCCGTCATCCACACACTTGCCTAACCACCACCACCTCTTCTCTCACTTCACCCCACATTTACAGCTCCTCCCCCCTCCATCTACCCCTTCACTCCCTCAACCAACCACTATGTCAGCCATCCCTGTATCGATCACCGGCCGGGGTTATCGACTGATGACGTTACCGATCTCAACAAAATGGCCGGTAAAAAAAAACCGTTATCAGTCGCGTGACCTGACTGAGGTAGGTCAGGCTGACCTGGGGAGATGAGTGTTTACTCGCAGCAGATGTAGGCCGTCTGCACGTGCGGTGGTGAGCAGCGGACGTTGGCTTAGTCGACCCGGGGGTGGTCAGCTTGTGTGTGTGTTGGTCTGGGTTGTGTGAGGGTGTGTGTGTGGGTGTGTGTGAGTGTTTGTCTGGGCTGTGTGTATGTGTGTGAGGGTGTGTGTGTGTGTTTGTCTGTCTGGTGTATTACAGTGTGTTTGTGTGTGAGTGTGTGTGTGTGTGGGTGTGTGTGTAGGTTTGTCTGGGCTGTGTGTATGTGTGTGAGGGTGTGTGTGTGGGTTTGTCTGGGTTGTGTGTATGTGTGTATGTGTGTGAGGGTGTGTGTGTGGGTTTGTCTGGGCTGTGTGTATGTGTGTGAGGATGTGTGTGTGTGTTTGTCTGTCTGTTTGGTGATTTGCAGTGTGTTTGTGTGTGGGGTGTGTTTGAGGGTGTGTGTGTGGTTTGTCTTGGCTGTATGTGTGTGTGGTTTTTTGATGTGTATGTCTGTCTTGTGTATTACTGTGTGTTTGTGTGAGGGTGTATGTGTATGTGCTTGTCTGGGCTGTGTTTGTGTGAAAATGTGTGAGAGGGTGTAAGTGTATTAGTGTGTATGTGTAACTGGTGTATTACTGCATGTGTTTGTGTGAGCGTGTATGGGTGTGGCTGTGTGTGTAAATGTGTTAGCCTGGTGCATTACTGTGTGTATTTGTGTGATGGTGTATGTGTGTGGCTGCTTTTATATGTGTGTTTGTCCCAGCTGTGTTTGTGTGAGGGTGTGTGTGTGTGTGTGTGCATGTGTTAGTATGAGAGTTTGTCTGGGCTGAGTTTTGAGTGTGGGTGTGTATCTGTCTGGCGTGCAAATGGGTGGGTTTGTGTGTGAGTATTTTCTTTCCTTAGTGTGTGTGTATTTGTGTGTGGGCTGTGCGTATGTGTGTTCGTTTGTCTTTGTGTCTCTGCGTGATCTGTGTTTCTGTGTCTTTATATATATATATATATATATATATATATATATATATATATATATATATATATATATATATATATATATATATATATATATATATATATATATATATATATATATATATGGTATTCTAAAATGAGTCTGCCAAATACGATTCGTACCTGCCTAGATATCCTATATAAAAAAATATTTCACAGCGTTGTTGTTGAATTACGTTTCCGAGCTCAAAGCTTTCCGATAAAGAGAATTTCCGCTGAACATTCTCAAACTAAATTCTCCGCAACATATTTCTCTGTTTCTCTTTGCTCTTGCATTTGAGTCTTTCTGCGGTGCATTTTTAAGTTGGAAACGGTCGTTTCAAGTTCCGTGTCTTTGAAGTGAACTGAAATTTTCCGGACGGAGCGAGAAGCCCACGCGATATTTTTTCCGACCCGATGATGAAGTTAGCGGAACCGGCGTTCCATTTCCCCGCTATAATATCTTCTGTATTCGTCGGTTAAGGGAGATGATTCTGAAACCGATTTAATTCCGATTGTGTCCCTTTGGGGGTGTGGCGCTGAGTTCAAATCGATACGGCTCACATGTGGATAGACGACGTCATCAGCCTGATAATAAAGGAAGATAATTTTTCCACGTTATAAAAAAAAAATTTCTCTGACGAAGACATGTCGAGAAGCTCTTAGCTGACACAATTTTTGGTTCTTTTTTTTTCCTAAGTAAATAAGCGTAGCCGTAACGTTAACCCCCACCCTTCCCCAACACAACCACCACCACATCTACAACTAACCTCACGCCGATTAACTCCAAAGGAATATTTTTCATACCTGGGTTTAAAAAGAACTTAATTTTAATATTTGAAGAGTGAATTTTCTTCCAATTAAAATTAATTCATTTTACGTCAATAACCTTTTAAAAATGGGACGACGCGGCCTAGCGGTAGAGCGCTAGACTGCGAACCCGAAATTGTCGTGTTTTCAGTCCGTAGAACGTCCCTGAGTCCACTCAGCTCTGATGGGTACCTAACTTACGTTAGGGAAAGTAATACGACTGATCATAGTGCTGACCACACTGTTCCTTCATAAGCCGAGATCTCTGAAACAGACGAACTCTACTTCATCTGCCCCATGTGTATCCCTTCATATGCCGAGCTCTCTGAAGCAGACGAACTCTACTTCATCTGCCCCATGTGTCTTGAGCAAGAATGGAAAAAGATAATGAGGAACCCTTAAAAAAGCAGACGGTAGATAAAAATGTATGTTTCAATGAGACAGACGAAGAAACTGTTTAGATTAGATAATGGCCAACGTCGCGGGGTAATTGTTGTTTTAATATGTTCTTCTCCTTCTCCTTGAGATGGTGGTTAAGTTTTTTTTTAAAGAATTTTTTCTGTTTTTGTTTTCCATGACGTAGTGTGGTAGATGATAGATTAGATAATATCTAACTCGAAAGTCTCGAGTTCGACTGCTTGGATCGTCTACACCCAACGTAGAAGGGGTAAAAAAGGGGGAGTTTTTCTATCAGACCATAGGGCAGATGAAGTAGAGTTAGTGTGTTTCTTTACCTCGGCATATGAAGGGATGATGTGGTCAGCACTATGTCCAGCCGCCTTTATTTTTCCTAACGTGATTCAGGAACCCATTACAGCTGGGTAGACACAGGGACGTTTCACAATTCGGACCGAGATCCGAACTCGAGACCTTCGTGCTAGCAGTCGGGCGCTCTACCACTCAAATTTTTGAAGTGGTGGGGACGGCGTAGAGCGCTTGGGGTAACGTTGCCACTACCTAAAGTAGGATACATGTACAGTTGAACTCTACTTCACCTGCGATAATTAGCTTTCATTCTTTAAAAATGCCGAACCATGCCTGTGTGTGTGTGTGGGGGGGGGGGGGGGGGTACAGTTGACGTCAAACAAGGGCCACGTGATTTATGAAACTCAAGCAGACCCGTATAGGGTCAACTGAGCGGACGTCAAGTACATACGGGCTGAACCAAAAGACGTCACGTCACATCGAACAGTCTGATCACCACAAAGCACTAACATGATATGAGGATTATAATATCCATAACTGTAGCTCAACACTGGCTGAAAGATTGTGCAAAAAATATTTTTTGAGTTATGACATTATTTGTATATTATTTTTTTCTTCGTTCTTACTCGTAATGTTGGACGGTAATTCCTCCTACACGATAAGGATTACGTTTCAAAATGTTATTCACCACATAGGTCGTTGACCCCGATTCCAGCCGGCCTTTCTGTTTTAGATTTGCTTCCATAGTTTTTATCCATCCAAGAACAAACTACAAGGCAGAAGTTGTTCCACTTGTAGATTTTAGTTAATAGCATACATTAGTTTAGTGCAAATTAATTGTGTACACATTGTTTAAATCTTTCAGGTGCAGTTTTACAGACGTTTGATGCATATCCATCTATTGATTTCCATCCGCCCTCTCCTAGCTACGCCACTGGTATGATTTCTAAACGCGGATCACTTTAACTATACCAGGGGCGGAACTACAGTGCCGCCAGACCCCGCAATGCTGGGGGGCCCAGGCCGTTTAGGGGCCCAGAGCTGACCATAATAACTTTTTTATAGTAAAAAAATAATTTTCTAGTAAAAACAAAACAGATCTATAATACAGTAGTGATGTTATACAGTAGCTAACACATGCTATTTCGTAAAGGAAAAAAATATATAGGCTACATGAGTTGTAATGTGAAAGATAGGCAAACGTTCTAACCACTCCCATGACTTATTTCCCTTTTTTAAATAGTCAAATATGTGTGCTCTTAAGAAATTTTTAATAGATTTGCACTAAACAAATTAGAAAGCAATTACTTCTCTTTATTATTATTTTTTTAAACACATAATAAAAATGACATAGTATAAAAAGGAAATGTATTAAAAACTAATAATATAAATACAAAAAAAAAATAATCATAAGGCGAGAAACCATTACACATACAAAGCTTTTCTGCTTCATATTCTTTTGACCGACTTGTGTATTAGGAAGCACTATGTCAGACATTAAAACAGAGAATTTCAAAGCAGGCCAAAAGCACACACACAAATTATGTTTTGTTTTAACATATTTTAATTTAAAATAAAAACTAAGAATTTTTACTATTTTTCGAATTTCGGTCAAGCACGTATTGAGTATTCTATGTACGTATTTCGTATTTTCGTATATAGGATCCCATTATATATATATATATATATATATATATATATATATATATATATATATATATATATATATATATATATATATATATATATATATATATATATATATATATGGGGCCCACATTTTTCTTTTGCGGGGTGGCCCATTTTTTCTAGTTCCGCCACTGAACTATACTGTACTATACTATACTGATTAATTCAACTGTTTTCAGCCTAGATCTACTTCACCTACTTTTCAACTGGCGTCACAGGACGCACCTCGATGAGACTCTTCATGGCGTTCTTAGCGGCGTCTTTCTTCGTCCTGTCATGACTCCTGTTGGGGAAATCGTCTCGCACCAACTGTGGAAGTAAAAATTTCAACAAGTTTTGTTGGTTTTCTTTCCATTAAAGTAGAAATAAAGGTCAGACATCATGTAAAGTTGTGTATGGTTGATACAGTCTTCTTCATTTAGAAAAAAAAACATCGCTTACGCGTGTGGAATAAAAATGGCCCTTTTACAATTTCAAAAAATGTTTTGATTTAGGTTTTACTGATCGTTACGACACACACGATGCGCATGCAAAACAAAATATTTTTAAAATAGCTTTTTAAAAACCATTTAATTAAATATTTTATCTCCAGAAAACCTTAATTAAAAAAACAACAATATGAATTGGTTTAAGTAGGAGTTCTTTAGTATAAATTGAGACGGGGGAGTATGTTTAGGAGTGTTACTTACGTCATCAAAGCTTTTGGTCAAAAAGCTCCAGTGCTCCGGCCATGACCTTGTCGCAATATGCTCGTGACCCACGTGATCCTTCCTGTAATAAAATTAAAACTGGTATATATATATATATATATATATATATATATATATATATATAACTATATATTGAGCGTGAACGGATGCGAATCTTTGTCTATGTATGTGTGAGTAGTCCTTTTTGTCCCGACGCCTTTGGAGTGCTATTACTACACTATCAGGAAGTGAAATATCAACGATTAATCATCCTTGTAACAGTTTCATGATTTCTGGTTTTTTTTTGTATTAGTGGTTAATTAAATCAAAACAAAGCAATTCACTGATAGGATAATGCCAAGTTTCGATTTCAGTATTGACGTTAGTGGTTCCGCGTTCTAAAATTCTCCGTCCCATCGAGATCCGATCCTGGTTGCGCGTGATGTCCGTCGAATTGCTGTGATTTTCTTCTGAAACCTAGACCACGTCGTGTCTGCTTCGTCTAGCTAAAGCGGCAGAGTTGTACGTTTTAATTCAAGCAGACGCAACGAGCTTAGCCCGGCCGGGTATGGAAACATCCCCAAATCGAATCAACCCGTTTGGGAACGGGGCAGATGAGCGGGATGATGGACGCTGGCCGGAGTCCGGTCAGTGCCGGTCGGTAATAAGGCAGCTGTTAATCAGACAAAGGCACGATCCTCTGTTATCCTATTGTGTTGGTCCCGCGAACCCGAGTCATCCCAGGGGCGTCTGAGTGGGTTCAGTCGACCCCTGGTTCGTGACTGAGTGGGGTCCGGCGACCCCCCTCCCCTTACATTTTGTGGCAAGTGGGTACCCGTGCTGTGGGTACCTTGGTGTTGCCGTAGCGGCGATTGATGAAGAAATATGGGGGTGAGTACCAGAACACGTGATTCAGTCATGGCTGCCCGTAAATATAGGTCAACTCGGGTCAAGTGGATGAGGTGGTGAGTGCGTATAAAATGACACCCCCCCCCCAACACGCCTTTTTTAAAAGCTAGAAAATTAATGAAGAACAATAAAGCCTTTACCACAGAATCTATTGAGTTCTTAGTTTATTTAGACTGTTGGTCTAGAGAATTTGCATATGAATGAGACGTTTCTGTTTGTCAGCCATTATTTATTATCGGAGTATGAAAATAGAAATTAAACATCAGCAAGGCAGCTTTCTTCGTCGTTAGGAGATGAGGCTCGTAAGCTGGGGAGTGGGGACAGTCACTCTTCTAGGAGAGACAACTCCAAAATCAAACAACTGCTGCCTTGTAGTTTGTTCTTGGTTGGACAAAGGCTATGGAAGCAAATCCAAAAAGAAAAGCAGGCTGAAATCGGAGTCAATGGCCTCAATGGCCCATAACCAGTTGACACGTATCATTAATTGTGTTGGAGGGGATCCATTCAACACTAAAATTAAGATAGAAGAAGAAGATGAAGATGTACGTACATGTCATTTTTACACAGTCCTTGTCTAAACTACTACATCAAGTTAAAAACAAGAGGTATTAGCGTGATTATATGTAGGGATTTAAGTTAAAAAGTTGATGTTGTAAGCCAAGCGCTCTATCCCTAGACCACAACACGGAACCTCCACTATACCAGATGCCTGAAAGAAACCCATGGGTCTAGAGGTTATGATAGTTCTGTTAGCACGGCCGGCGCAACCTATTAGGCGAACTAGGCGGTCGCCTAGGGCGCCATCCCTAGGGGGGGGGGGGCGCAAAAATGTGTAATCGCTATTATAAAAAATTACCTAGTAATTAATAACTTTGATTATCTTTTATAAACTATAATTCTATAGAAAGTATAGAATATGGTAATATAGAAAGGAGTAGCGATCAATTTCGAGCCCTGGACGAACCATCAATTTTGCGCCCCCCCCCCCAAATTAGGCATATAGGCCTATAGGCCCATATTTTTTCGCGTTGGTGAAAATACACCCCCACCTCCCTAATTTGGAAAGATCGGGGCACTTTTGACCAGTCGCTTTGCCTTTTTACTTTGGTGTCACATTATTGAAGTCTAAAACGATTAAATAAGTCCGTAATTTAAATTTCGAACATTTCAAACGGTTTTGTAATTTTAATGTTGACTTAGTGATCGCTCCAGCGCATGACGGGGCGTTCCAAAAACACGTGCAATTTTGGTTTTTAATAGGGCTTGTAAGTCTCGTTTTTTTCTGAATTTGAATTAGAAATATGTTCTGGTGTATAGAGTTTTGTAATGAAGGGGTGTTCAAAGTATTGTCACTTGTTTGGTAAGTTTTGATGGATCGTTTAAATTTGGGAGTAGCGATAGAAGTCTGTTACTGATATGGCTTCGTAGGTATGAAATATCGGTTCTTGAAGTGTTAAAGTGTTGCAGTTTTTATTAGGCTGTTGTCGTGTCGTTGAACATCTAGTGGAATCGGATTGATTGTAGAGAAATGCGAATGTAGGTGTTGAAGTATCGTCGTTCATGAGTATCGAGTCTTGTGGTATTAAGGAATCGAATGTGTTAAATGTTAACGTGTAGTAGTAAGTCCAGTGAAATCGTTGTTGATTTGGAGTATCGTTTGTAGGGCTTGGTGAAGTTAAGCGAGTTGGTGTCGTAGTTCTGGAGCATCGAGTCTAGTTATGTTTGGGTATCGTAGTTTGATATGTGTAGTGAATGTAGTAGAGTATATCGAGTAGTCGAGTTTATCGTAAGTTTGATGATTTCAATTCAGGACGGAACACACTACAATGAAATGGAGGCGTTCTCTAACTGAACAATCTTTAGGTTTTTTTTAGGAATCTATATTACTACTTTTTAAGTATTAAGCTGGAATTTATAACTGACCGTAAACTTTGTTTTTTCAAATTATTTTTTTATAGTAATTAATAATTATAGCAGTATCTTAAAATGTTACCTGTATTTGATTTTTTGAAAGGTGTCCCTCTAATTAGGGGATCCAAAATTATAAATATTAGATTCTATATTACAATCCACTAGACACCTAAAGGTACGTAATCAAAATTGAATAAAAGCATGTTGTAATAAAGCTAACGTATTTAGACTTTCAAACAAAACCTACAGTTGCGTAGTCAATAAGTAAAATATATGCTTATTACATAAATAATATAAAAGATATGTTAAAATTTTTATGTAATAAAATTTAGAGCGTTTATTGTGTTTTTAAAGCCTGTCTTGTTATACTTGATTAATTTAGCTATTCCCATGAAAGTAATTTCCCTTGAATGAAATTTTGGTGTTTGGATTTCCAAATGGGAGATAATTCGTTGCTTAACTTTGCATTCATTTCAAATTCCTGCACCTTCGGTTGACCGCTTACTTATAAATACAACTTTAAGTTATTATTTTTATTGTAAAAATTATATATAGTAGAAGTTCTAAACAAAATAGTTTGGTAGGTTTTTTTTCACTATCACGTAGAAAAACAAATACATAAATTTTTGCGACGAAGTAGGCAAGTAAAGTTTGATTTTGATGTCTAATTCTGATGTGTATGCAATTGATAATAAATTAATATGTCACTTTTAATTAATTGTTTTCTTATACATGTTTTAGTAAGTAATTTAAGTGAAAGGGGGCGTTTTAATAAGTTTTGCCTAGGGCGCTAAATAACCTGTCGCCGGCATTGCCTGTTGGTGCTGATGATGAGTATTCCTGAAGCTGATTATACTACTATAAGACAGAGAGAGAACGAGAGAGAGAGAGAGAGAGAGAGAGAGAGCGACATACTGTGAGAATAAGAGAATGCACACTATGCAAATGCGGCAACAGGACATTACTCCCCTCCCCCGGAAATTACCCCCCGGACATTTCCCCACTGTATTTACCCCACGGAGCAATTACCCCCCCCCCCTGTCCATTACCCCCCTGTCAATTACCCCACCGGGGAATTACCCCCCCCCCCCCCCCTCTCAAGTTAGAATCTTAACTCTAACTAGAATTCTATACCTATATACTAATTTAATCCAAACCTTAAGAAAAAGACCAAAACCTAAGCATCCACCTTAGCCTAAAATTTCACACAAAACCAAAACCAATGCTAGACATTGGTTTAAGCCTAACCCTAACCCTAACCCTAACCCTAACCCTAACCCTAGCCCTAGCCCTAGCCCTAAACCTAGCCCTCACCCTAACCCTAACCTTAACCCTAGCCCTAGCCTTAACCCTAGCCCTAAACCTAGCTCTAACCCTAGCCCTAACTCTAGCCCTAAACCTAGCTCTAACCCTAACCCTAGCCCTAAACCTAGCTCTAACCCTAACCCTAGCCCTAAACCTAGCCTTAACCCTAACCCTAACTCTAACTCTGTCCAGGGGGGGGGGGGTAATGTCCTACTGGGTGGGGGGGGGGGGGGGTAATTGACAGGGGGATAATTACTCCGGGGGGAAATGTCGGGGGGGGGGGGGGGGGGAATGTCCGGGGGTAATTGACAGGGGGGAAATGTCTTGTTCCCTGCAAATGCATATATATGTATCTCTCGAAGATAAGCAGTTTTAGCAGATAAAATAATAATGCAATATTAGTGTTTTTTTCTAGCGATATATATATATATATATATATATATATATATATATATATATATATATATATATATATATATATATATATATATATATATGAGGGAGAGATGTAGGCATAGAAAGAGGGGTAGGAGAGAGAGAACACCCAATACGAACTGATATCTTTGTATCTTTAGTAGATACAATCATTGAGTAATTTGCAGTTTTAGCAGATACTAATTCAAATATCTTTCATATGTTGGGTAGTGTCACATACACACACGCAATAATAGGGTTAGGTTGGCTGGAGAGAGAGAGAGAGAGAGAGAGAGAGAGAGAGAGAGAGGGAGAGAGAGAGAAAGGGAGAGAGAAAGAGAGAAAAAAAGAGAGATAGAGAGAAAGAGATAGAGAGAGAGAAAGAGAGAGAAAGAAAAAACTGGAAGAGAGCAAGTGAGAAATAAAGAGAGAGAGAGAGTGAGAAAGAGAGAGAGAGCAAAAAAGAGAGAAAGAAAGAGTGATGTGATTCTAATTTGACTTCCCTCCGATCCACTGAACCCATTCAACAAACATTACAGATTG